CTAATTGCCGAGTAGCTGGGATTATAGACATGCACCACCACGCCCAGGTAATTTTGTATTTTTAGTAGAGACAGGGTTTCTCCATGTTGGTCAGGCTGGTCTTGAACTCCCAACCTCAGGTAATCTGCCCATCTTGGCCTCCCAAAGTGCTGGGATTACAGGCGTGAGCCACCGCACATGGCCATTGGGTGTGTTCTTTAAGGGGCACCTGGGTTCTCTGCCACCTCACTGCTCCCACCACTGCTCTGCATGTTCATGACAAAGGATCTCTTCCCAGCTGCAAGCCTTATCTACCTCACTTACGTGTTTATATCTCTCATAGCAGAACTAGTGTTTTGGATATTACGTTGAAGGACTGGAGATCCTTTCTGAAATACAGTTTTTAAAAACGTGCAGATTAACTATGATTGCAGATGAAAGTTTTTACTGGTGAAAACGGTTTGTTATTAATGTTGCCTAGCATCAGAAAAACAAAAGTTGTGAGAGTTACAGGTGACATCTTCATGGAGAAAATGCAGCAGCTGTTCTGCTTTCAAGAACAGTCCTCTTGGAATTAGTATATGTACTTTTTGAAAAAGAAATTTAGGTCTTAAGCATGCATGGAGGCTGCCTACTTGACAAGCCACCTTTCTGCCAAAGTCCAGCCTTTGCTGTCTCTATCAGCAGCAGGTTGCACATAGGGAGGAGGGGGCTTGGCTCTCATCAAGCTGTCTCCATCTGCACAGCCACAGAGGGCTCTATCTGCTCTCAGCCCCGACTTCTTTGGGGGCTTTGGACTTAGAAGACCCCTGGAGGAGTTCAGAGTCTGCCTCTAGCCAAAAAGGCTGATTTCCCCAGCATCTTTCCACTCAACTCAGATAACACCACTTCTCAAAAACTGCCCTGTCTTCTTTCTTCTCCCTCAGCTCAGGGGCTTGGAGGGGAGAATTAATTTGCCCAAGAGACACAGCTAGTGACTGACAGAGCCAGATTCCAGTTATGATCTGCTTCCTTTTGAACTATATTTGACATTTGGGGCAAGCAGAGATCTTTGGAGCCAGTACAGGAGTGGTGGGAGCAAGGGATGCCTCTCCATTTGCAGAGAATCACTTCAGGTCTGTTTATTTGAAGAATCCCAGGAGAGGAGCTGAGGGAGGATGAACTGCCAGCTCTTCTGTACCCACTTCATTCTGCATTTCTTTCCTGTCTGAAGGGCCATCAGAACCACAGGGCTTGCTTGGACTCCTAAAATGAACAGTGAGAGCTTCCATTCCTATAAGATTTTTTGAGAAACTATACGGGAATTCTCCTGTAGTTATAATTTTCAAAACCAAAGAGCAGACCTCTTCTATAACCCTAACCCCAGTATACACACAGCTCTCTTTTCCTTCCAGCTCAGACAGTGTGACCACTTGAGGGAGGGAAGGACTGGTCTACACTGGTGCTGGGAAGCCTCAGTGGTGCTGTTCTCCCTCTAAGAGGGAAGAGTGAGGGTCTGGAGAAATTCAAGCCAGCAGCTGCTTTCTAGTGGGGCAGGAGTGATCAAGGTACTACCAACTTACTAGCAGCAAATGGGGAGGATAATGACAATAGCTGCCATCTATTGATCCCTTGCTGTAAATTAATACTGGAGCTAAACAGCTTTCCCCAGATCATCTCACTTAATTCTCATGGCAGTCCTGTGAAGAAGATACTATTATTATCTCTTACTTTTTAATGGTGGATAATGACAATAGCTGCCATCTATTGATCCCTTACTATAAATTAATACCAAGGCTAAACAGCTTTCCCCAGATCATCTCATTTAATTATCATGGCAATCCTGTGAAGAAGATAATGTTTATTATCTCTTACTTTTTAATGGTGGAAAAGCCAAAAAATAAAAACATAGCAGGGATGAAAAGTATACCCATTGATGTTTCAAAATATGATCTCACTATATACAAGAGAGAAGGGCAAATTCTATTCATGGTCAGTGTAATCAGCCCCCATCCATCCATCCATCCATCCATCCATCCATCCATCCATCTTCCAGGAGTCCACAGTCTTCATGCCACTGTTCTGCAATGCTCACCCCATCCATTCCTGCTGCTAAGTTCTAGCATTTCAAGTGAATGGACAGCATTGAGTGATTCCAGACAACCTTGACATTTGTCCAGTGGCCAGGCCAATTTATGCTTCAGTAGTTTTAGGAGAGAGCCAAGGACAGAGCCAGAGTGGCCAGCTGCTCCAGAAATTACACCCTGTGGCCCGGAGCAGCTGGAGAAAGTCACCCCTCCTGCCCTCCTTCACACAAAAGAGCCTCCTTAGTCCTGGCCTGTGTGTGTGTGACAAACTGATTTAGAAATTATTATTCTGTCTTCATCTCTCCCTAAATCTCTGTTGGGAATAGAATTGTGGTAGGTTTTAGATAACAGCCTCACAGCCTTTATTTTATTTATCTGACAAGTTTGACTCTGGGGACACCAGCTGCTAGCTTTTGCAACGTAGCATGAAAATTATTAACGTTTCGGCCAAGGGTTCTATACCTTCATAGCAGAACTGCCAGGGCTGATGATAGCAATACTCAGTACTTTTGGGAAAAAACGTGCATGACCCCTGTGCAAGAAGCTGTGAGGGAAAACTCTACAAGCTTGAAATGAAATTTCCTGGAGGGATTTTCTCGGCTGGCTTTGTAGTCCTTATTCACGCCCCTGAAGCAGCCACAGGCAGTAAGTTCTTTCAGAGGCAAATACCTTTTGTGGTTCGTGTGGGAAATGTGTTTGTTCCACTATTAGACTTTATTTCCTCCTCTGGGTATGGCAGATGCAGAGCAGAAGAAGCAACTGGAGAAGAGACTAAAAAAAAAAAAAAAAAAAAAAAAGAAAGAAAGAAAAGAAAGTAAAATAAAAGAGTAAAAGAGAGGGATTAAAATAGAAATAAGCAGAGCTGCCTGTTTGCTGGACAGGTTGAAGTGCCGAGATATAGCCGAATGAGCCATTGTGATGGAGTGCTAAAGGGGCCTGGGCTGAAGATGCTATGGTGCGAACTGGCCAGGGCAGGTTGTTGAGAGGGAGGGAAGCTGGAGCAGGTGCTGGGAGAAAGCAGGCAGGATGAAGGGAACAGCCAGACTGGTGGGACCTGGTATCCAGAGACATGGGGCCTGGCAAGGGGAGAAAAGGAGGACGGTGAGTTTGCTGCATTAGAAGGACCTGGTAAGAGGTGATAAGTGTCCCAATAGTTGAGAGAAAGGGTAGAGTCCAACAGTAGGTCTTCTCAGACAAGGCAAGTAGATAGGACAGCAGAGGGCCTGAGAGAGAACTGACAAGGTTAGAGACACTGAGCAGTTTCCCAGAAGGCAGTCGAGAGACTTAGACATAGGGCACAATCCAATGATGAAGGCAGACTCATTCAAGCTCACTCTTCTTGGTAAAAATGTAAAAAATAATGGCAGAATCAGATTTGTCAGAGCCAGAGCCAAAGGGTCAGAGTGAGGCCGGCAACTAAAGTGTGGATGATGCGGCAACAAGGCTGCCCCAGAGCTCCTCAACCCAGCTTCCCAAACTGAGGTTGTTGGTCTAGAGTCTGGGACCAGAGCTGAGCTTACAGCAGTGAGGGAAGATGGTGGGCAGATTATCAACCTGGGTGAGAGTGGCAGGGCTTCAGGTTTGTTACCTTTGCATAATTTGAAGACCTGGGGTACAAAACTGCTACAGTGTAGAGCTGTGGTTCTCAGCCCTCATTATGCGTTAGAATCACCCAGGGAGATATAAAATATACTGATACCTAGGCAATCTCCTTCTTCTACTCCCACATTAATTAGATGAAAATCTATTATACTGGCATTGATATAATTCCATGCCAGCAAAGGTGGCAAACCACTGACTTACAGGCAAAAGTGGAACTATCGATATCCATAAAAGGCGTGCTATGCAGTACAACAGCCACTGTCAATATGTGGCGACTGAGCATTTCAGATGAGGCTAGTTGGAATCGAAATGTGCTGTAAGCCTGAAATATACACTGAATTTTGAAGATCTAGTCTGAATAAGCAACCCAAAATATCTCATTAATAGTGAGATACTTGTTTAAATGATGTTTTGATTCATTGGGTTAAATAAGTTGTAGTATTAATTTCATCTACTCGTTTTCACTGGCTCTAATGTGTCTTCTAGAAAATTCACACTGGTATATGTCATTTGCATTGTATTTCTTTTGAATGGTGTTGCACCAGAGCTGCTGCTTTTATTTCTGATTCACAAACCACACAACTGAAATTGCTTTTCCAATATTGCTGCTGCAGATGGTAATCCACTGGGAAGAAAGTTTTCTATATGTCTCTTCAAAATGGGTAGAAAACATACCTGTGTTCCAAGGCTGACGCAGTGGTGACCATCAAACAACCTCCAGAAAATCTCGTTACTAGGTTTACAATACTCTACAGCCACAGGGACACATGTTTGATAGATTGGTTCTTAAAGTTATAAAGCCTAAAGGATCTTTAATGTTGTCAATGCCCACATTGTCTGCAGTCAGCAGAGGTAGTAAAATAGCAAAATGGGATTAAAAATAATAAGCTGACCAAGACTTGTGCAGAAAATGGATTGAAGAGGCCAGATGTACTGCCTTTGGCTCTGATTAGACAATAAATGAATTCCCAAAACTTAACTCTCATGAAAGATTAGCAGATGAGACTGTGGTTTCTTCCTCAGCAGCTAAGGCCAGGAGCACATTCCTAAGCCAGATAACACTGTGTTATATTGCAGGACACTAACGAGGAGGTCAGAAATGAATCACAGGCTCAAGAAATTTTTTCCACCCACCCACACAGATAGGACCATATTGTAAAACTCCCTGCCTGGTCAACTTTCATCAGCAAAAATCACTGCTTAAAACTCCTTGGAAAGGTCCTTAACAAGGGCTGTTGTCAAAGAATTCCCTGTGTAGTACCAAGGCCTTTGCCTTGGATTCATGCCTCCCACTAAAAAAAGACATGGAACCCAACACAGACTTATTAATCTTTATTTTTCTCATTGACACAGGCACTGATGACTCACTTCTCACTTGAGTCCAGACCCATCTGGATTGCCTGCAAAAAGCTCTTGGCAGTGACCTGAAAACACATGTAAATTAGCCAGCCGATTCTAACCAGGACCTGCAGACTGGTAATTCATTCCCTTGTCCCAGACTTGTCTGACAAGCACCCCAAGCAACTCTGAGTTCCATCCTGCAATTCTCAGTCAGGCTCAAGAAGAGCTCCAATTTTATCTGGGCATGGTGATACATGACTATAATCCCAGCTACTCAGGAGGCTTGAACCCATGAGGTGAAGGTTGTGGTGAGCCAAGATTGTGCCACTGCACTCTAGCCTGGGCAACAGAGCAAGACTCTGTCTCAAAAATAATTAAAATTAAATTTAAGAAAAAGAAAAAACCATATGATGGCACTGAGCCTCTTTGACTCTATTTGACTCTAGCTTGACTCTAGCTTGACTCCAGAAGTGGAGAACTACATTTGTTTCATGCATTAAGAGTGGCCGCCTCTGAATGGGAACCAGAATCTATAAACTTTTAAAGGCAGAATCATTGTGTTGATTCTGTATCAGTCAGGTGGGTTAGATTGTACTGTGGTAACAAACATTCATCAGAGCTTGGTGACTTCCACTGCAAGGTTGATGTCTTGCTCATCCTATATGCTCATGCAGGGTTAGTAGGAGCTCTACTTTTTATTGTCCTCCCTCATCTACAGTAGTTGAACCATTGTGTGGATGGGCAAATGCCCCTACTGATGTCAAGAGCATGGAGAAAATTCTGGACTCTTGGGGGTGAGACTCCCTGGGAAACAGATTCTGTGACAGGTGTTTTTTTGTGGATGTTTGTTTGCTTGCTCTTGGGAACAACACCTGTAAGGGAGTGAGGAAGCTGGAATGAGCAGAGAGAAGAGCTGAGCTGCCATGCAGATGCAACAGAGGCCTCAGCCAATTCTACCAGGGTGCTCTGGAGCTGAGATGATTCTTCTGAATTGTCCCAAATTGAGCCAAGGATCCCCAGCCTTTTGGGCCAGAAGCTCCCTTCAGCAAGGGGCAATTCCTGGAAGGCTCAGATGTGAGCATTCAGCAGCCAACATTCATGGCAGCTTAAGGAAATGGGGGCCTTGGCCCTAAAAGGAGAGATCTGAGTGATACACCAGAGCATCCTCTTGCACTGATCAACTCTACTGGCTTTGTATAAGTCCAGTCCACCTGGGAACAGCTCTTCTGAAATTCTGGTTGGTCTCTTCACTACAGACTAGAGGGATGGTATATTGCCTGAGTAGCTGCAGCTGGCCTCAAGGTCATTCATTTTATATTCTTCTTAACTGTTGCCTTTGCCAGTCAAGGTGTCTAACCTGGTAGGATGACCCAAACCATCATCCCCAAGTTTCTGGTCATTTTGCTGTTCTCAAGCCATGGCTGCTGCATTCACCAACTTAACACCAAAAGTAGGCAGGAGAGCACCATGACAAGCCCCCAGCAGGTCACCAGAGTGTCAGACTTATTCTGCCCTGCCTTCACTGTGGAACAGCAGCCCTACCTCCCTCTACAAGCTGGTCAATCACCCCAGCTAGTGTGGGGACATTGCCTTCTGGTCTTTTAGCACGAGGAGCCCAAGGTGACTAGGCAGGAGCCAAGGCTTAAAGTTTAATGGGACACTTGCCATGTCCCCTGGTGCAAGTGTTTCCCTCGGGGAACCACAGAGCCTAATGTTGCAGCAATGACAAGCATTAATTGCCAAGTGGGACACTGGGAATGCTGGTATGCAGGACCTTTCCCAGTCTAATTCCTTGGTTTCTGGGCCCATGTATCCTACCTATTAGGGATATCAACTCATATAAAAGTCTTTGATTTAGGGCTGCATCCTGAAGAAAGGAACCCTGTCTTCACAGAGTGAAGTACCTCTTCCATGGTGGATGCCCCCTAGTGGGCACTAACCTGCATTGCAAAGGTCTTGACTCCGTAGGCCCACTCCTGTAGGTCCATATCTATGTGCTCTTTCCCCAGTCCCCAGTCTTACACTCTTTTTTTCAGGCCCCTGGCCAACCAGCCTAGTCATCATTTTTCATAGCCTGAGTTATATACTCCTACTTCAGGCCACTCCTCTTCCCACACAAAGTGAATGACCATGTGCTCAGTCTAATGAGAGGATTTCTCTTTACCATTGATTTTTGGGACTACCCTGAATGGGACTACAGTGCCACAGCAGTCCATTTTTGGCTAGCACCCCTAAACCAAGCTTACACTTCCTTGAATCGGTCTTAGCCCTTTCCTCTTCTCTGTCAGCTTGTCTGTAAGGCACACTCCATGTGGCCACAAGTCTTGTCTAGGGGAGAGACATTGGTATAAGGGTGATGGATGTCATGGGGTCTGGGCCATCTATTAACATAGCTTACATTCACCCTCTGGCCCTGCTCACACATAATCCCAGATGTACGGCTTCCATTATCATGATTGCTGTTAGGCTTGCCAGCTTTATGACTTGGTAGGTTAGATACTACTTAGCTCATGCTGGGTAGCTTTGGCCACATGGTCACTTGTCAGATGCTCCATCTCTCTTAGGGAAGTGGCATGCCAGGAGCTGTTTTTAAGGTCTCCTCTGTAGATGGCATGGCCTTGCTCCAGGACTCTGGGGTCTACCATATGATTCTCTTACTGGGGTTTGTCATAAGCTCCACATGGTGAATTCTTCCATCACAGATAACTAATATCAATAGGGTCTGCTCAATCATGTTGCCCAAGCAATACGGAATTGCATCTTATAGGTACTGTGAATCAGAGCTGACAGTCTTCCATGTTATCTGGTAAATTGGTCAGAGCAATATCACTAAGTACTTCTCTATAAACCAAAGAAGCCTCCCAAGCATGAGGCTTTCTTCTTAATGGTAGGAAGTGAGGTGCAATAACTTGTTGTTTCTTTTCTTTTTTTTTTTTTTTTTAATTTTTTATTGCATTTTAGGTTTTGGGGTACATGAGCAGAACATGCAAGACAGTTGCGTAGGTACACACATGGCAGTGTGTTTTGCTTCCTTTCTCCCCTTCACCCACATTTGGCATTTCTCCCCAGGCTATCCCTCCTCACCTCCCCCTCCCACTGGCCCTCCCCTTTTCCCCCCAACAGACCCCAGTGTTTAGTACACCCCTCCCTGTGTCCATGTGTTCTCATTTTTCATCACCCGCCTATGAGTGAGAATATGCAGTGTTTCATTTTCTGTTCTTGTGTCAGTTTGCTGAGGATGATGTTCTCCAGATTCATCCATGTCCCTACAAACGACACAAACTCATCATTTCTGATTGCTGCATAATATTCCATGGTGTATATGTGCCACATTTTTCCAATCCAGTCTATTATCAATGGACATTTGGGTTGATTCCAGGTCTTTGTTATTGTAAACAGTGCTGCAATGAACATTCGTGTACATGTGTCCTTATGGTAGAACGATTTATAGTCCTTTGGATATATACCCAGTAATGGGATTGCTGGGTCAAATGGAATTTCTATTTCTAAGGCCTTGAGGAATCGCCACACTGTCTTCCACAATGGTTGAACCAATTTACACTCTCACCAACAGTGTAAAAGTGTTCCTTTTTCTCCACATCCTCTCCAGCATCTGTTGTCTCCAGATTTTTTAATGATCGCCATTTTAATGGCGTGAGATGGTATCTCAATGTGGTTTTGATTTGCATCTCTCTGATGACCAGTGACGATGAGCATTTTTTCATATGACTGTTGGCCTCATATATGTCTTCTTTCGTAAAGTGTCTGTTCATATCCTTTGCCCACTTTTGAATGGGCTTGTTTGTTTTTTTCCTATAAATCTGTTTGAGTTCTTTGTAAATTCTGGATATCAGCCCTTTGTCAGATGGGTAAACTGCAAAAATTTCTTCCCATTCTGTTGGTTGCCGATTCACTCTAGTGACTGTTTGTTTTGCCGTGCAGAAGCTGTGGAGTTTCATTAGGTCCCATTTGTCTATTTTGGCTTTTGTTGCCAATGCTTTTGGTGTTTTGTTCATGAAGTCCTTGCCTACTCCTATGTCCTGGATGGTTTTGCCTAGATTTCCTTCTAGGGTTTTTATGGTGCCAGGTCTTATGTTTAAGTCTTTAATCCATCTGGAGTTAATTTTAGTGTAAGGTGTCAGGAAGGGGTCCAGTTTCTGCTTTCTGCACATGGCTAGCCAGTTTTCCCAACACTATTTATTAAACAGGGAATCCTTTCCCCATTGCTTGTTTTTGTCAGGTTTATCAAAGATTGTATGGTTGTAGATATGCTGTGTTGACTCTGATGCCTCTGTTCTGTTCCATTGGTCTATATCTCTGTTTTGGTACCAGTACCATGCTGTTTTGATTACTGTAGCCTTGTAGTATAGTTTGAAATCCGGTAGTGTGATGCCCCCCACTGTGTTCTTTTTGCTTAGAATTGACTTGGCTATGCGGGCTCTCTTTTGGTTCCATATGAAGTTCATGGTGGTTTTTTCCAGTTCTGTGAAGAAAGTCAATGGTAGCTTGATGGGGATAGCGTTGATTCTGTAAATTACTTTGGGCAGTATAGCCATTTTCATGATATTAATTCTTCCTAACCATGAACATGGAATGTTTCTCCCATCTGTTTGTGTCCTCTCTGATTTCGTTGAGCAGTGGTTTGTAGTTCTCCTTGAAGAGGTCCCTTATGTTCCTTGTGAGTTGTATTCCAAGGTATTTTATTCTTTTTGTAGCAATTGTGAATGGCAGTTCATTCTTGATTTGGCTTTCTTTAAGTCTGTTATTGGTGTAGACGAATGCTTGTGATTTTTGCACATTGATTTTTATTTCCTGAGACTTTGCTGAAGTTGCTTATCAGTTTCAGGAGTTTTTGGACTGAGGCAATGGGGTCTTCTAGGTATACTATCATGTCATCTGCAAATAGAGACAATTTGGCTTCCACCTTTCCTATTTGAATACCTTTTATTTCTTTTTCTTGCCTGATTGCTCTGGCTAGAACTTCCAGTACTATATTGAATAGGAGTGGTGAAAGAGGGCATCCTTGTCTAGTGCCGGATTTCAGAGGGAATGCTTCCAGTTTTTGCCCATTCAGTATGATATTGGCTGTTGGTTTGTCATAAATAGCTTTTATTACTTTGAGATACGTTCCATCAATACCGAGTTTATTGAGGGTTTTTAGCATAAAGAGCTGTTGAATTTTGTCAAATGCCTTCTCTGCGTCAATTGAGATAATCATGTGGTTTTTGTTTTTGGTTCTGTTTATGTGGTGAATTACATTTATAGACTTGCATATGTTGAACCAGCCTTGCATCCCCGGGATGAATTCTACTTGATCATGATGAATAAGTTTTTTGATTTGCTGTTGCAATCGGCTCGCCAATATTTTATTGAAAATTTTTGCATCTATGTTCATCATGGATATTGGCCTGAAGTTTTCTTTTCTTGTTGGGTCTCTGCCGGGTTTTGGTATCAGGATGATGTTGGTTTCATAAAATGATATGGGAAGGATTCCCTCTTTTTGGATTATTTGGAATAGTTTTAGAAGGAATGGTACCAGCTCCTCTTTGTGTGTCTGGTAGAATTCGGCTGTGAACCCATCTGGGCCTGGGCTTTTTTTGTGTGGTAGGCTCTTAATTGCTGCCTCGACTTCTGACCTTGTTATTGGTCTATTTATAGTTTCAGCTTCCTCCTGGTTTAGGCTTCGGAGGACACAGGAGTCCAGGAATTTATCCATTTCTTCCAGGTTTACTAGTTTATGTGCATAAAGTTGTTTGTAATATTCTCTGATGATGGTTTGAATTTCTGTGGAATCTGTGGTGATTTCCCCTTTATCATTTTTTATTGCATCTATTTGGTTGTTCTCTCTTTTCTTTTTAATCAATCTGGGTAGTGGTCTGTCTATTTTGTTGATCTTTTCAAAAAACCAGCTCTTGGATTTATTGATTTTTTGAAGGGTTTTTCGTGTCTCTATCTCCTTCAGTTCAGCTCTGATCTTAGTTATTTCTTGTCTTCTGCTGGGTTTTGAGTTTTTTTGATCTTGCTCCTGTAGCTCTTTCAATTTTGACGATAGGGTGTCAATTTTGGATCTCTCCATTCTCTTCATATGGGCACTTATTGCTATATACTTTCCTCTAGAGACTGCTTTAAATGTGTCCCAGAGATTCTGGCATGTTGTGTCTTCGTTCTTGTTGGTTTTGAAGAACTTATTTATGCCTTCATTTCATTGTTTACCCAGTCAACGTTCAAGAGCCAGTTGTTCAGTTTCCATGAAGCTGTGCGGTTCTGGGTTGGTTTCTGAATTCTGAGTTCTAACTTGATTGCACTGTGGTCTGAGAGGCTGTTCGTTATGATTTCAGTTGTTTTGCATTTGCTGAGCAGTGCTTTACTTCCAATTATGTGGTCAATTTTAGAGTAGGTGTGATGTGGTGCTGAGAAAAATGTATATTCTGTGGATTTGGGGTGGAGAGTTCTGTAAATGTCTATCAGGTTTGCTTGCTCCAGGTCTGAGTTCAAGCCCTGGATATCCTTGTTGATTTTCTGTCTGGTTCATCTGTCTAATATTGACAGTGGAGTGTTAAAGTCTCCCAATATTGTTGTGTGGGAGTCTAAGTCTCTTTGTAAGTCATTAAGAACTTGCCTTATATATCTGGGTGCTCCTGCATTGGGTCCATATATGTTTAGGATCATTAGCTCTTCTTATTGTATCGATCCTTTTAGCATTATGTAATGGCCTTCTTTGTCTCTTTTGATCTTTGTTGCTTTAAAGTCTATTTTATCAGAGATGAGAATTGCAACTCCTGCTTTTTTTTGCTCTCCATTTGCTTGGTAAATCTTCCTCCATCCCTTTATTTTGAGCCTTTGTGTATCCTTGCCTGTGAGATGGGTTTCCTGGATACAGCACACTGATGGGTTTTGGATTTTTATCCAATTTGCCAGTCTGTGTCTTTTGATTGGTGCATTTAGTCCATTTACATTTAGGGTTAATATTGTTATGTGTGAATTTGATACTGCCATTTTGATGCTCAGTGGCTGTTTTGCCCTTTAGTTGTTGTAGATTCTTCATTATGTTGATGCTCTTTAGCATTTAGTGTGATTTTGGAATGGCTGGTGCTGGTTGTTCCTTTCTGTGTGTAGTGCCTCTTTCAGGAGCTCTTGTAAAGCAGGCCTGGTGGTGACAAAAATCTCTGAGTACTTGCTTGTTCGCAAAGGATTTTATTTTTCCTTCACTTCTGAAGCTCAGTTTGGCTGGATATGAAATTCTGGGTTGAAAGTTCTTTTCTTTAAGAATGTTGAATATTGGCCCCCACTCTCTTCTGGCTTGTAGTGTTTCTGCCGAGAGATCTGCTGTGAGTCTGATGGGCTTCCCTTTGTGGGTGACCCGACCTTTCTCTCTGGCTGCCCTTAGTATTTTTTTTCTTATTTCAACCTTGTTGAATCTGACGATTATGTGCCTTGGGATTGCTCTTCTTGTGGAATATCTTTGTGGTGTTCTCTGTATTTCCTGCATTTGAGTGTTGGCCTGTCTTGCTAGGTGGGGGAAATTTTCCTGGATGATGTCCTGAAGAGTATTTTCCAGCTTGGATTCATTCTCTTCATCCCCTTCTGGTACACCTATCAAATGTAGGTTAGGTCTTTTCACATAGTCCCACATTTCTTGGAGACTTTGTTCATTCCTTTTTGCGCTTTTTTCTCTGATCTTGGTTTCTCGTTTTATTTCATTGAGTTGATCTTGGACTTCAGATATTCTTTCTTCTGCGTGGTCAATTCGGCTGTTGAAACTTGTGCATGCTGCGCGAAGTTCTCGTATTGTGTTTTTCAGCTCCTTTAATTC